TCATAGTCGTGATCGGAAATAGAACCGAGTTAAACGATATATAATAGCTGATTGTTATTATTAACTAACAACAATATAATTGTTGACCCTATTTTGCATTTTAGTAAAAATTATTTATTTAACATGAAATAAATTGTTTTTGAACTGTTTGGTTGTTCTATTTCTAATTGTAAGAAATATTTTGACATATGGAAATGATAATATATTAATCTTTGATTTTCGGATAGCAGATTAATAATTTTGTTTTGACGTCAAACATTATATACAGGCCTGGACTTCAATATAAAGTTTACATTTTTTTATGACAAACTATTCTTTCCAATTACATAATTTTTCCTATGTAACATTATTATAAATATTTTAAAAACAAACATTTTATTAACACTATTTTAGGTTATTTGTAGCAAGTTACAGATTAAAATTTTTTGAAATTTTATATTTATTACAGATCATAGAAATATATTATTTTGTTGAGGTTTTTAAACGATACTCGCTTTGTTTTGTACAATATTCATTGAATATTTGTTTGTATTACAATTATTTTCATTAAAAACACAAACCATTTTTCATCATTCAGTATCGATACACAATTTGTTATTTATTTGGTCCATATCGATTTTCAGAACGAAAAATAATACAATATTTTTTTTTAACATCAAAATCAAGACCTATGTTAAAATAAATCTTTTTATACATTCTACATAAATTAAAATACATTAGAACTTTAGAGAAATTCTAAAACATGATATTGTAAATAAAATGTAATTGTTTTTTATTATTTTTGGTATGCGTTCATTAAAAGTCAAAGAACAATAAAATAGATGAACTACTGTTGTTGATTCGCAGTCAAATAGATTTATTTACACATATTGTTATTATAAAGAAGCGTAAACATTTGGAATTTCAGTTCAATTCACAATAGTTTAAACTAAACATTTCAGATATCTCTGAAAGAAAGTATTGTGTCATTTTTTTTCATAAACTTACCAAAATAACAATAGAACATTTATTAAGTCTCAGTAAATGTTATTTTTATTCTATTAGTATTGTTTAATTGTTAAACGAATAACGGTTTAAAGTTATTTACAAATTAACAATAATGTGAGTTATTTGACAAGAACGGATTATCGATATACATCTGTCTCACACTTCGACCGCTAAGAGAACTTACGTATTTGTGTTAGATATAACGTACCAATGGTCTGCATTGTAAGAACAAGCAACAAATGAATAGAAATATGATTTCAATGGTTTTTGATATCGGTGGTTTATTGGCGCCGAAAATCCGAAAATCATATACAACTGTATAATTATCTAATTAAGGTTTTGTAATTCTTACATTCAAGGCTTACCTCTTTATATAATTAAATCGGATTATAAACGAATAATAACTTAAGAGTAAAATACAGACGATATTTTGTTTTATATTTAATTCAATATCTTATTCATGGTACCTTTCATTATTGAATAAATATGAATTGTTTAAACATTAAGTCTTCATTGAAAAAAATTAAGAATGAGCTATAGAGGAATTATATATTTTTTTTTCATCTAGGATATTCTAGATAATATTAGGTTATCATTAGTTATTATATTATAATTATTTATTAAAATACATTTTAGAAATACAAGTTTATCATATAATTCATGGGTAATTTTTTGACAGTAATATACTTTCATAATATATTCAATGTATTGGTATTATTATTTCTTGAAATTTTTAAATATTCATATCGATGTAAAAATACAATTACATACATTTATAGACTTTTTTTTCATTGATCGATTAAATTTCAATTATTCTTTCAACTGTAAATTTATGTCTAAAAGAGTTTCGAACGAGTAAGATTTTTTTTAGAAGTGCTATGACAGTTAAAGTATCCAAAAGAAACTTAATTTTCTGGTGAATTTTTCTCAAAAAATTTCACTTTTAATTTTTTAGATACTGCTTTTTTTCTTTCCCGTGAACTTATAGCAACATTCTGAACTGTTAGAATTAAACGTAAAACATATCGTTGATAATACAACTTTTGTCCGTTGCATAACATTTTCAAATGTTTAATGTTTTTGCTGTCAATACCGGAGGCAATTCGTTATTAATTTTTTATTTTTAATAGTAATAACAATCTCAACGAACATGTTATACATTCTTACACATGGGTTAAAACTGAAAACTTGTACTAACGTTTATCAAGTCGAAGCGTTTGTAATAAAGCAAAAAAATCGCGAAGACCATGGTGATTAAATATTTGTTCATTTACCTCGATGAATAGTTAACTTCTAAAGTATTCTTATATTATGTTCAGAGAAAAACAGGTTAAGTATTTTTGATGGTTCTAAGTTGTTTTTGTATAGACACGTGTCACAGTGGTCGAAAAACTAAAAAGGGTGGTCAAAAATAAATAACTGAAACTATGATATTTATATATATATATATACAATTATCATTGAAATACATTTTTATTGATATGAAATATATTAAAATTTGTTTTAGTTATTATTTTTTATTCTGAAATGTGTTTTGGTTTTCCATCACTGCAATAATTGTTTATACTTTGTAAATTCTGATGTACCGTCAAAGTCCCATTTGCAATGAAGTGTGCTTATATTTTGTAGTGGCTTTGGGAGGCTTTGAAGGATTCTTTTAGAATTATGATTTAAAAGAGATTGCAATTGTACCTAAAAGCATTAAATAATATTGTAACGTACCTAATTTGAAAATCATAATTAAACTTCAATATTTATATTTTTAAGCAAAAAATTATGTTGCTAACCTCACATTTCTGTTCTTCGATTGTAATTTGTTTAGGATATGCATTAACCTTCTCAACAAGAAGCTGATCATATGAAGGATATAAATCATGATTATGTTTTTTAGCATTTTTACGGAGCATACTGTATTGAAATTTCGATAACGAACATGCAATAATTAAAGACAGAGCAACTTCCGGACTCATCATAGACGGCTTTAATGTATTTTTATTTTCCTTCCACATACCACGAATCTTTTTTCCTCTTGTTGGAGTAGAGTTTGTTGCTTCTTTTATCAATTTTGCTGTATATTCATTTCCTATTTTCCTAAATGCATATGAAGTTGTCTCACTACGTTCACTTAAACTTGATGAGTTGTATAGAAGTTGACATTATTGTCGTTTTGAACGCACACTACTTTCGTTGAATGTTTTAGTTGGGCGACCACGGCCTAAAGATTCAGAACTATTTATATCTGTTAAATTAATGTGTCTGTATACAGACATTGGAAAATTAATAATAAAACAAAGCCACTCCCGATTTTCTTTTTGAAATCTTTCATTTTTTCGATTACTACTCTTCCATTTTATAAAATATCTATAATTATATACAATTTACCTATCATTAGCACTTCTATAAAATAGAATAAATATATAAATATATATAAATAAACAAACACATGAATACCTATTAAAAAATGAAGTAGTCAAACATCTCGTAATTTCTTTAATAACATTTTGTACGTCATTATCATCTTTGTTGATTTTTAAAGCATTTAAAACATAATTCAAGGCAACACTTTTTTTCTCCTGGATAGTATGTGTAGTACTATTTGTGAGAATACGTTCATGAAGATTTCCACGTATAATTTTATTTAATAAAGCCATGATTAAAAATAAATGTATTGTTTCACTATAAAGAAAGATAATACCAAAAATGGTATACACATAATTTCAATCACCGGTTAAAAAAAAATAGCGCAAATATGCGCAGCTAATTTTTATTTAGTATTGTTCACTGGACTTTTCTCAACGAACTGATATAATTTTCATCGTGTAACACGATGAATAAATATAATATACTAAATATCTACGTTTTTATTGACATATAAGTTTAATTTAGATTTATCAATAATATTTTATCAAATATATGATACACATGTACCTTTATCTTTAATTATATATATATACATATATATCTCATAATGTACTCATATATCACATTTTATAAGTACCGACGTTAATTACTTAATTTAATACCATATTTAAAAGAGAATTTATCTTAATATTTCGACAATTCACAGTACATCGATATTTTATCAACATTATAGTTATGCTATACATAGCATTTTATGTACTTAAATTTGTGTTTTGTCAAAGAAAAAACATTTTTAAATACGATAGGATATGTACAAACATTCTATTTTTTGAAAATTAAAATTTTCTAGTATTTAAAATAATGATTTTTGGCCACCTATTTTAGATTTTAGTTTTTCGACCACTGTACGTGTGACGTAACAATAACAAACAATAATAAGACTAGTTTTATTCGAATTTCATTCAGGTAAAAAGTATGTAAAGTACGATTATTATTTAAAAGACAACACGCATAATGATCTAATTGCGCAAACAATGTAATACACACACACACACACACACACACACACACACATATATATATTTCCTCTTTGAAAATATTTCCTGCACCACACACTATACCGAATCAAATATAAATATTCTACATCGCCGGCAGACCTCTGCAGCTAAGCCATGAATTTTCAGAACATTTACCGAGAAAATAAATCCGTCTTACCGAGCAAATAAATCCGTCTTATACGGTTCAGAGGGTAATTTGATCGTATCCATAAATGCCAGACGCTGTGTTATGTTTTTTCGTTTATTCCGACACCATGTAACGTAACCGATCCGTAAACGTTCCAGATCTCAAATTTTAATAGAAATGCTAGAAATGACATTTATAACATATTTTTAACACAAGCATGTGTTTCTGGGACATGCAGGAGGTGTTCACAGCCTGTTCATCGTGGGTCCATATATACACAGTATTAAAACCCATCGAGCCTGTTGAATGTCGAAATTAACGTTGCATAATAAATGCATACCCATCGGTGTGTATTCAATGTGGAAATTAGTCCGTTCTTGAGACAACGCGCAAATATATTACATAAATGCGTATTATACGATACGGTTTCTATTAATTTAACGTTATGCGTTCTTGTTTTGTTTTAGAAGGAGATAATATCGCTGCGATTCAAAGACATGGAACTTCGTCGGGTCCGTCTTACGTGTCAATATCAAACACTGTATTTTTGACATTAATCGCATTACAGAGGATCGTGAAATTCGTCTGAGTTGGCTATTTGATAAATACACGATTTTTCACACGTATAGCTAGAAGTGTATGAATAATCATGTACTAACAAGTGAGTATAAATATAATACTGCAATCATTTCCATTTGAATGGGTTCCGTTTTTCAATTTTATTTTCAATCTTTTATTTTTATTTATGTATTTTTACATCACAACTAAAACAACGCTTGACAAAATAATAACGTTGTGTATCACGCTTCAAGAAAATACTATTGAACGACGACAGTAGATTTGATTATTTTTGTTTCTATTCGACGTGTAAGGCCTTCGCGGTATACGAAAAAAAATACGATCAAATGTACTACTGTGCATCAATAAATTTCATTCCTTGCATCTACTCGCGGAAAATCCGTCCCCGGGGTCTTAGAAATTCCAATAGGTACGCCGGGGTGCGTATCGTTTTACCGATAGACGCACGGCCACATGCTCGGTACATTCCTAGGACACGTTTGCGACAAACACGGCACTAGAACGTTATTGGTCTTGCAAATTCGCCTCTGGACGTCGCGTCGTGTTACAACGGTCAATGCCGTATATTTTGTTTACAAAATCTTTAACATCTTTCGTATTAACTAAAGCGATCGTTGAAAAATAATATCTAACAAGCATATTATTTTTAAATTAAAAATTCATATGGGCGGTATTTTGAAGTATCGCCCCGGGCGCAATATTCGGTTGCTACGGCACTGGTTACAGTAAAGTCGTACTCGCCGGGAAATTGAATCCAAATATTACCGATCTGCGGTCGGCAGCCACAGCGGTGTATTGAATTTGAATCGGCACGCGCGAGGTCTGAATCCGGGCACGATGCACGTTATTAGTCGACAGCAATAACACTGCCGCGACCACAACTGTTGTGATGTAAATCGCTCGGAGTAGGTGCGCACCGCTAGTTTGACGTACGCGGAGGGCCGTTAGGAAATGTTTCGCCTGACATTAGACGACCGATTGCCAGTCACGTGCGAAACGTTCAAAGGCATCGAAAAAAATTAAAAATTGTAACGTACCGAAGACGGTGGTCAACATAGTTAATTGTTAAAATTTAAAAACGCGGTGCACACGCAAATAATTACTGTACTGTTATCACGTATACATCAGTCCGAATACTTTGTGAATGTGTACATTGGACCCAGGCTACGTCAAATTATTAATCTAAGATCCGAATATTTCGACATCATCGTCGAGCCAGATGTAGCGTGGAAAAACACTCATCGCTTGGCAGTTTGTTCCGATTAGAATAGTGCATTGCTTGTTTTATAAGTACACGTTTTGGTAAATGCATGATTTCAGGTGGAAGACGTGTAGTCTGTTAGAAAATATCACATTTATTAGGTTCCCGAGTGTTTGAAATTTAATTAGTTTTATTTTCTATTTCTTAAACACGTTTAATTTGTAACACCAATTTTTGTCAAAAACCAAATATTTTATTGAAATATAGATCTGAGAGCTAAAAAATATTTAAATAATAATAATATGAACATTAAAAATACCACGATATTGCATATTCACTATGATCGACAGAAACTAAAATATTGCTTTTAACTAATCGCTCTATTTCGGATTCAACTTTGCCTTTTAATGCTAGAAGGATAGACCTAGGCTTGTAAAATTTAGGAACCTGGCTTTAATATTTAAAGAAATTTCGTATTTGTTAAAAGTACCTATTTCTTTAAATACATTGTTATATTTGCTTATAATACTATCGACACGTCATTTTCAATATTAAGCAAATTAAAACATTTTACATTTTTTATGTCATTTCGATCGATTAGTAGAGGACCACCGTTGTCGATTACATAAAGACACATATTGCATTTTTTGCTTTGATATTTCGAATCGACAAATATTTTTCCTACAGGTCGAATATCATTACCGACATAATCGGATAACGAAATATCATTTTTTTTTTTTTTTTTAATTCGATGTGACTAAACAGTTTATAATACAATCTTTTTGAAATTACGCTGTGTTGTGAACCAGTGTAAATTTTGAAATTTACGTTATTGTTTTCTACGATTAAATTATTGTGAATGGTTTCAAAGCTCTATTTTGAGAACTTTGATCAATTATAGAAAAAAAAAGTATTAGAAAGATCATAACTAACTGTTTCATCATCATCATCATCGTTATTGGACAGAAATTTATTTTGTGTTTTATTATTTTTTTCACCGAAATTGTAACATTGGTAGTCCTTGTCTCTGCAGTATTTTTGAAGATGATTGGAACGGCCACAAACTCCGCATTTGATTTTTGACACCTTATATACGTTGAAACCCTGCCTTGCTTGACCAGGTCCATCACTTTTTTTTTGGTATTTTAAATCTATGCATTTTTCGTTTTTCCAACCACTTTTGTCTTTCATTGCTGCTTCTTTGGTTGTTGAAATTTCAAGTATACTTGAATATGGTATTCAAACTTTTGAAGCATCCTCTTCTAAGAGACGATCTTGGAATGGTCCTGAGCCCAGGACGACAGCAAATATGTCTCAGATAACTGTTGTTAGTTCCGACGAAAAACCACATTTTGATGCCAGATTTTTAACACGAGCACCCCATTGGCACACAGATTCGTCTTGCCTCTTTGTAGCCTGATAAAAGTTATACCTGGCTGCAAAATACGACTTAATTGGTTTGAAATACTTGTTCAAACTTTTCATTAGAGTATCGTACTTAACATTATTAGGCGTGGTGGGAACACATATACTAAAAAGTACTTTATGATTTTTTGGCTCTTTTTTTGAATATTATTTTCAATTGAATTAGCCAAGAAAAAATTTGTATATAAATTTGTAATATCTTATGATCGGTTCTTATCTCAATTAACTATTGATAATTGTTTGAATCAAATCTTGACAAAATATTAATATTATGTTTTTTACACAATTTTTGAAATCATATGGTACAATTAATACAAGTCCGTTGAGATAACTCATAAATTACTGCTCGATGTCATAAATTTTTAATGTATGATTTATGTTGTACACAATTTGAATTAACGTGCATAACAGTCATATAAGATTGTTTCATAAGATTATGAATTCGTTTTTCACTCAGGTTTCATTAAAACGTTTTTAATGCTATTATGACGTTAAAATATTTAACCAATTTCACTATTTTCTAACGCTGTCGCATATAATACTAGGTAAAGTTTTGAATCGAAGTCTATAAATTAATTATATTTTCGTTGTAGAATAAACATAAATTTGATATAATTTTGATTCACATTCATGGATTTTTATGAATCGCGAATAATGTAAAAGATAAATTTACGGGTTTTCGCACGCTACAAAATAAATCTGAATAATCACGTCTCAATCACGTATTAATAGAAATACGCACATTAATAATTATTGTTTGTCAACAGTAAGTAAGATATTGAAAATTCACATCAAAACACGTCCATGATTATTATTCGATTAATATTTAATCGGAAACAACGATATAATCTGCACGTGTAGATGTTATAAATTGTTGAATCGTTTGGCTCATCATCGGGTACACACAAAAAATTATTAAATTCCAAATACGTAATAAGTAATTAATGTATTAGTAAGTGTACTTTAATATTTAAGTATATATTTTATACTTCTTTAACTAAATTATTTAATCCATTCCTGTCGTGATAAAATATTTAATACATTTGTAATGAATACTTATTTAATTATTATATCATACTCGACTACAATAGCTTTTATCAACTTTGATCAATGCATGCGTTATATTAGTGGTACACGATAAATTTGACATATTTGATTACTATTGTATTAAAAATCACAATACTAAAAGTTCAAATATCAATGTGATTTCTTAAGCCAAGTTCCTAAGGCTACTAACAAGATGTTAACTGACAATATTTTAACAGAGTAATTCTAAACGTTATACGACCCCTTGTGAACATTGCAAATTGCATGGAATACTATTTTCGTTCTATTATTTTCTCGTGTTAACAACTTTTAATATTTATTATACTATATACATAATATAGTTTAAGAGAAATAAAAATAAAATTGTTCAATAATAACTCACGGGTTACGAGGAACAACCCGTTAAATCATGACGAATAGCAATAATTCCCATTATACATTAGAACTGAAACGTTCAGATTGTTCAAGGTCATTAGTTATTTTGTAAAATAACACCATTCGACACTATGACTGTTAAATTAAATATTCATATGCGTATCTTTCAAAATATTAGTTTATATCTTTAGATAATTGTATTCATTGTAAGCACAGTCGTGTTGGGTGTATCTGGACACTACCCAAAATAATTATTATATTCTATAGTTGCTATGGTCAACATAAACATGTGATAAGTATGTATATACCGATAGTAAATAATACATTTATATTGTTATTATTTTTGCTCTGTCCATTGTATTCTGTTGTAATACGAGTAGTTCTACTAAGAACTACTATTACTATGAAGAACGAGTAAGAAAATGATCAACAAAATAGGTACATACTTTTTTTGGTAGATTATGATGTTTAACTAATTGATATTATTATGAAAACTGATTTAAAGACAGTGTATAAAATCGATTATTATATTGTATTATTTAGTACTGAAAGGTAATAAAAGTTGATAGAGGCAAATTGGTCGCTTCCTATTCACCTAATTAATTCATTTTTTTTGGACATGCCCAGAACTTAAAATCCGCATACTCTTATAACCGTAAGCGGTTAATAACCATTTTACTGTGGAAGTGGTCACTCAATTATCTTTCACGAAACGCGTTCAACTCGAAATGAAATAATCAACTCAAATTGGTGTGTGATTAAAAATATCAAATATTCCTTCTTTTCAAGAAATCTAAATGTTGAGTTATCAAATTGAAATACGACGATAGTCATCATTACGATAATTTTACAAAAATATTCTTTGATTTCGTTAATTTTTTTTTTTGCAATACCACTGGGATATATGGTTTATTTTTTTGTAGTATATTATACTTCGATAGTATTCTACTGTGATTTTTTTTTTTTTAATTTTTCAGTTAAGTGGGTAGGAAAATCATGATAAAAAAATACTATACTTTTATACTTACAAACAG